GGCTTGGCCAAGACTTGGGTCAACTCAAGCCGAGTCCCGTCTCTGGATGTGGACACTACTAAGTGGGATAAAAAACGGGTGCTTTGTGCCATATTTGGTCCACTCAGCATACTAATGCTTCACTCAGATAAAAAATGAAATTGTTTCGATAGCGTTGCGACCTTATCAAAATAAGTAAAACTACACTTCAAAAATTACTAAAAACTGCAACTAGGGTGTCGAAAAACCTTCAAATCAATCATCTCGACCTTGACTATCATGGTTATGAAAAAAATTAGAATTTTAAACCCTACCAACAATGTTTGCTGAACACATTATCTACACCATCCATTTCGCATTTAAAATAAGTGTTCATAGATCTACAAGATGTGTAGCATTTTATGAACTTCAATGTCATGGTCAATATTAAATATTTATTTTAGAGGCATCATGGAGATTTCTGATACCCAAAGTGCTTTCCAAAAGAGGATTCAAGGTAAGGCTTTGCTTTGTTTTCAAAAAGCCTAGACCTTAAAGAAACTGCATTAATAATGACAATAACTTTTAAAAAAAAAAACACACGTCCTTCCTGTGTTCATTTTAAATATTAAGATTGAAAGGTGTGGTTTGTGTAAGGTTGCTTCATTAAATAATCAAAATAAAGCTCACCTCCAAATTTTATCATAGATGTAATTTTGGCGTAAAAAATTCTTAGGATAGCTCGAGAATCAATTTTCATATCTAATTATAAAATTTTAATCTCCAAGAATTTATCAAATCAAGTAAAAATCTATAAACATATGAAAATCTTGAAATTAAACGGTCCATATGATATGTAGCAAGATGCAAAATTATTAGACTAAAAAATCTTCTTTATTTTCATATTCATGCATCCCAATGTCGCAATAACCAATTAGAGATTTCTCTAGCGCCTCTTTTCCATGGATCTTTGATATACACCTTAATTCTACATTTTAAGGTTAGAACCTCGTATAAACTTTTCCAAGAATGAATGCTACTAGTTGTACCATACACAACATACATAGTTATTAGGTCTATTGTCATTCCCAAAAAAAGAGGATCTGGATATATGGAGAAGGCAGTTTTTAGGGTTCCACTGGTTCGAATAAATCAAACTCTCAAGAGAGAGATTTCTATTGTATAAGATCCATTGATGGGTAAGTAATGTCACACAATAGTAAGTTTGAAATTGATATTTGTACTTTTATATTTTCATGAGGGGATTGTATATGATGAGATTATTTATTTTGATACAAGGTGGACACAATTACCTACAACCATCCGATGTGAAACTTGATAGCATGGATGTGTCACAAAGTGCGAGAAAATTTCTATTGAAGTTTGATCATTGTCAGTGGAATAATTACAACCAACCAATTTCACATCCAATGGTCAAGATTAATATGACCACCTTATACCAAATGTAATTAGTCTTATTCTATACTTTCTCATGAGAAAACACTTTCCCAATAACATCACTCAGTGAATGATATTATTCTATAATTTTCCATGAGAAAGTACTTTCCAATGATTTATTCTATAATTTCCCATAAGAAAGTACTTTCCCAAAGGTAAACGGTTTTATTCTATACTTTCCCATGAAAAAGTACTTTCCCAAAGGTAAACGGTCTTAACTCTACTCAGGAAAACATTGTGCTGACTTCCCATGCTTTTATATTGTCGTGATGCTATTGGGAAAGTACTTTCTCACCACATCACCATAAACCAAACATCGGAAATTGGCATTTCACTAGAAAATCATCCTCCCAGTATGATTTCACGTTTTTTTTTTGTTTTTTTTAGGGTAATTCAATGGGGGAAGACTAACCCTACCAAGTTTTTTAAGTTGATTAGGAATTAGCTTTTTGAAAGTACAAGTAGAGTAGCGTTAACGATGAAAATGAAAACCACAACAAGAATGGAAACCGCAATATGGTGATGTGGGTGCTACCACCACGAACCCAGCCCCTTTCCGATCTTCACGTTTTTCTATAGCTAACAGTGTGCTCTCGTTGATAAATTAGACAAACATACAGTACATACTAATTGTGTTGAGAAATCAAGACTTTTCTAATTTCAGTTATTTGGGAAAGAATTCCGATTTTAATTCCACTTTTTATTTAGACACTCTCATCTGTGGTTTGTATTGAAAAAACAATATTTGGTTGAGTCGTGAAACATTTTAAGGCCGAAAATTATCACTACCTCCGAAAAGGTTTGAGGAGATAAACAAATCAAACTAAAAGCGCATTAGAAAAAGTATGCTTCGATGCCAAAAAAAAACCCTCAATCCGATCATCTCGACCTTGAGATACATAAATTTTATGATTAGATATTAAAATGAGTGCCAAAAAACCCTCAATTCGATCAATCATCTCGACCTTGAGATACATAAATTTTATAACTAAATATCAAAACAAATTTTTATGCCACCAAAACATTTTCAATACCAAAACATCTTCTCACACTTTAAATTGTACCTACTTTGATCATTTAAAGTCTCAACCTTATACAAACCACCCTAGAAGTAAATACATATAGGTAAACCTTAAACAATCCAAGAACCTTAAACAATCCAATTAATAAGGAGCAGCTCCAAATTTTATCATAGCATGCAAGTTTGGTATAAGAAATTGCAGGATTATATGAAAATCTATTTTTATATCTAAATATAAACTTTTAAACTCAAAAAATGATTAAAATCAAATAGATTCGATCCATATAATGTGTAATTATATAGCCAAATGCACTATTTCTAAAACTCAAAATCTTTTTTTTTTCCATATCTATGTTGAGACAATCAATAACAGGATTTGTCAACATTAAAGCTACCTTTTCCATTGGATTTTTAAATTGCATCTTGACTTCTGCATTTGAAGGATGCAACCTTGCATAAACTTTTTCCATGAGACCAAAAAAAAAAAATTAATTTTCCTGATGGTGTAGGTATCAAATTTTTAGATTGAAGACCTAAAAATCATCTTCCCAAATTATTTAGACAACATGCACAACAAAGTACCCTAGAGACGCCCACTTTGGAAAGCGAACATCCACGACCATCTAATTGTAGGGCCCTCACATTCATGAGACCCCATCACATAGGAACCCATAATATTAAATCCAAAGGCTAGAAGATCTTTTAGGGGCAGGGGTCTCAGAATAGACTTTCAACTGGCAGCACACATTCACCTTACGTTCTCTCGATGACACTCCGCGAATTGACTCGAGGCTTATTTCCACCTTCCCTGCCATGGTTGTTACATTTTTCTGTAGAACAAAGGGTTCCGGAGGCATGCCGACAGTCTGGATATTTGCGAAGTTGGAGTCAATGGGTTTAAAGCCCACACTCTAACAACACTCCACAATGCCTACAAACGCACCAATTTCTAGGGGCATATGAACTATTAAAATTTTCTCCACCTTCAAAATCATGGAACTAGAGCCAAAAAATTGACTCCCAAAATTTCCAATACATGCATCCTACCCTCTTAAAAGTTTATCCAGTCTGAATTAATGCAAATTGGAATTTTTGATTAGTTACACATCCTATGAACCCCCATAGCTTTAGGATATGAGCACGTAAAAATATTTCAGTATGAAACCAGGGAGTTTTGGTAAGAATTCAACCCGTGCCCTGAAATCAAGGTTCAAATCATGACAACACATAGGAATCATGCATTTGCTTGATTCCATTTGCCTTGAGCAACACAGAGAGCAAAGTGCTGGGTGGCCCTTTCATCACAACAAAAACAAGCCAAGGCCGGACCTATAGGGACCCAGACTCGGTTCAGGACCCAAGCCCCTAATGCTATAGTATCACCCAATGCTCCTGAGAATACGGAGCGCATTATATCGATGCAAAATATAAACAGCCAAATATAAGATAACAAGGAAAATGAAGAATGACCACTTGTTCAAGGTATAAATATTGGCTTGGTTCATAAAACAATTGTCTTTTTTTTTTGTTAATAGGTTCATGAAGGCTATAACATATGCCATCTCCACTTCGCCGTATATTTGATTTTGAACAAGTATGTAGGAAAGCAAAGGGAGAGAGAAAAAAAAAAAAATCAGAAGCGATCTCCACTAAGAATATCTCTAAACGTAAATCACTAGGAGAATGCTGAACAAAGCAAAGAACATTACAGTCTTACTACCTCTTGATCCTCGAAAACCGGATTCCTAGAGATACCTGTATAAATGGAGCCCCCCAAAAGTTCAGAGGCTCCAACCTTTCAAACACACCACCCACAAGACTGCCTTGCCCCACTCAGCTACAAACCAAAATGCTTTTGCCGATAACAGAGAAAATAAACAAGAGACAATACATACCAAATATGGTTACTGGAAAAAAACGAGGCTTGTCTAATGAATAACAACTGAACAGGCAGCATGCTTTTTCAGAACTTCCCAACTATTTTCATACCTTGGGAGATTGTTTTGAGCTTTCACTCAGGAAAGGCGGTTTCAGATTTGTCAGTTTCCATGGGCTCAGTGGCAGGGGGTGGGGCTTGGCCCTCAGCCTCGGGCCCCTGTTCACTAGGGTTCACGCTCTCTTGTTGGGTTTCGGTGGGATGGGGAGGAGGGGGTGGGTTCTCAGCAGGAGCTGGCGATTTGGCAGGTACAGGCTTTGGCTTTGTCATGATAGGTCTACAGAACCTGTTAAAGGTTGAACATAGAAAAGAGAGTCAGCTACCTGAACACAAAAAGGAAAGAACTAGTTACCTGAGTTAAAATCAATGTTTTTTTCTTTTTTGGACAAGTTTACATAGGAATGGAACTTGAGACGTTAGGCTATAAAAACTCAGCCTCAACCATCTTTGAGCCAAACCCGATTCCTGAGTTAGTATTAATGTTTTAAATGTTGAAGATCTCTCTCTCATGTTAAGAAATCATTATAGAAAGAAATGACAGTATCATAGATATTCAATAGATTACCAGTAGGCAACCAACCACAGGAGTTTGAAACCCAATGAATTAGAGGCAAATTTTCAATCAATCAAGACAAAAGCCTTTTTTCCCCTTTTGCTTTTCTGTTTTCAGTAAAGTGAAAGAAAAGCTAGCTACTTTGACGTCAAAGCATTTGAACCCTGAATTTCATCCTTGAATGGAACTAAATTTCTGTTAATTTTGACACAATGGCAATATGCATAATAGTTTTTTAGGCTTGGCATGTACAGAGGAAAACATGACCCACATGTAACGTGTAGAGAAGCATCAAACGAGGCCCTGGTGGTTACCATGTGTGCTCTATACTTTACCTCATAAGAATTCCTCTGGAATAATTGTAGAAAAGATAATTCATTTGAAATCCACAATAAAAACGGCAGATAGAACAATGTTAGATTTCCTTTTTTATGTTACTAAAAAAGGAAAACAGAAATGGCATATATGTGGCATTCATAATTTATAGGGAAGACATGTAATGAGCCCAGGCTTAAATGCTTAGCGCCTGACGATTTGCAACACTACATCATAGGCTCAATTCCTACCAAGGGTAGGGATCCTCTCCCCACTGACTCACCCAAAAAATTAAAAAAATTTAAAAAAAAAAAATAAATATATATATATATATATATATATATATAAAAAAAAATAAAAATTATAGAGAAGAGTAACCCGTTTCATGGGGAAAAAAAGTGAGCATATAAATAAATGATAAAGAAAGAACCAGCAGATATAGCATTCAAGATTACCTGTCTAAGGTCTCAGCTTTCTTCTTCAAGTCAGAAGACAAGAGGACAGGATTTGCATGCTTGGGCAATGCATCTTGTTGCTGCTTTTTCTCTCTCAACCAGGCTTCTGCCTCAGTACACTCATTCACAACCTGACATTTTAATAAACATCAAATATGACTTCAACTTAGCCAAACAGTTAAAGAAGCACCACACATGAACTGAGCTTTGCTAAAATAATATGTAACTAGTCATCATTACTAAGAAATTACCACATGACACAGAACTGGAGGACTTTTAGTTATGATGAGCTACAATACTCGTCAAAAGAAAAAATAATCCTAAATAGCAACAACTTATTTTAAAAGTTTCACAGTAGTTAAAAGGCAATAATTCTTCCCATAGGTGCAAGGAGGAAACTAATTAACACCCATCCTTTCCACTGCACCATGATGAAGAAGAAGCAGGTGCACGTTTTGGGCTCTTAAAGAGTAGATCGTAGAAGCCTTACTCAAAGCTTTTTACTGTTTATTTCACCGATACTTCATATGTTACCTCTCAAAGGAAAATTTCAGAGCATATGCTCACTAATGTCCCTGCAAAGTATGGAGTAATCGCAACAGCGAAGTGAGGTTGTATGGTAAAAAAAAGTAGGTTCTTTTTCTTTGAGAGAGAAGATTTCGATGGAATTGAGTTTTGCAGTAAGTTGTTGCAGAGTATAAATTATAATTTTCCCCCCAAAAAAAGGGTTTAAAAGAAAACAAAGGGAAAATTTGTTTCGAAAAATAGAAAAGAAAAGCAACTTTAGTGTCACTGATCAGCAAGAAGAGTAAAAAGTTATTTTGGATCTTCCTTGTTAGAAAGAGTACTTTGCATGAATTATCAAAAATAAAAACAAAAAACTCATTGTTTCTTATTGCTCCTTTTTCACACTTTTTCATACCCAATCTTGGGTTCCTAACAGTGTCCCTTCTAAACATGGCTGCACCCATTTTCTTCAACAATTCTCCACAATTTACGAGCCAGTCTCTAGTTTTTGAATTTAGAAATTTGCAATTATTCACCTATAAAAGAGATGTGATCTACATTGAACCAAAACTTATTTCATACAAACTATTTCAGGGACATACGAACAGAGACTTCTTCTGTGTCAACATGCTTAGTTTCTGCTCAATTTTGGTTTAAGGGCTTGAAGATACCAACAGCCAGACCCTTCGGTATGAGGTACAGAGGGGTATGTAATCTGTTTTCACATAACAGAGACTGAAGACTTACGAGACGGTAGAAATTGGAAGGCAAAACCACAGTAAGTGGTCTAGCAGAAGGAAAGTGACAATTCTATTATTGGATGAGACCCAAACCATGTCAACACCTAAGCAAATAAATATATATTTTTAAATGTTAACCGTTAGTAGTGGGATAGCAATTTTATTAAACCGTTTGTAGTTTTCGAAAGGGGTTAGCATTGGTACGCATGGAAACCGAGATCGGTAGCTGAGGCACGGGTGACCTCAACCCCATTCCTTTTTTACTTCGCCACATCCAAGTAAATAAATATTTATACTCAGAAAACAGGAACCCCTAAACACTGTCTAACTTCAATATACAAGTAGACAACATTTTCTAATGAATAATATAGTGATAATGTACTAAAAGAGTATTTGTTGTTGAACAAATACACTTCCATACCTTCTGCTTATCTGCACCATCAATGTGATCAAATTTAGGATCTTTTGAAAGTGCTGCTTCTCTATAGCTGTTAATGCAATAAATGAGCTGCTCCACAATAGGCCCTCGTTCTGTATTTTCCCTGTGTCTCTCCTCAATTGGATCGCCTTGCTGCAAAACCATTTCTTCATTAGAAAGAATACCACAGAAATCGAGACAGAGGGAGAGAGAGAGCGCGCATCAAAATTGCAGGAACTCAATTAAATAGAAAGCAAGTTTCAAATTGTCCAACAATTAGAGGTGCATTGGATGAAACTCCCACTGCAAAATTAGTTGGAAGTTTATTTTTTGAAATATTTAATTTCAACAAAAAAGAGTCTCTTATTTCCTCATAATTTAGAGTCATTCAGTATTATTAAGAAAAAAAAATTACTCTATAGTGTAATTGTCATTCCTTTCTTCATACCATATCTACTAAAATTTAATGTAGCATAAAAACCTCAACCAACTATTTTCCAAATTTAACATATATTCTCTTTTATTGGAACAGTTTGGTCTCCGTGTATGTGTGCGCACGGGCGCATGGGGGTGTGGATTGGAGGGAGGGAAGGGTGATTATCTAATCTATCCTAATGGGACATTTTTTTGTTTCTGTTGAGGGGGTTTGATGGGATTATCTAATTTAAATCAAAGATTGTGCCCATTAATATCTTAACTAATAAATACCTTTTCTGCATTATTTTCATTTAATACGGAAACGGCATTTTAGACATGCCTAGTTTAATATAAAAAATCCTGAACCATTCTATATATACATACATACATACATATATATAAGGGATTGTATACAATGATACTATTTACCTTTGGTACAAAAAGGTCACAATTACTTATAACCATCCGATGTGAAATCTGATAGCTTGGGTGTCACAAAGTTCGGGAAAGTTTTTTTTGAACTTTGAGCTTGGTCAATGAAATAAATGTAGCCACATGTGGCCACTTTGTACTAAAAGTAAATGGTCACATTATATACTTTCCCTGCGTATAAAGATTCCTCAAACTCCCGAGATTTAATGAAAATTAGAGGGTACAACATGTCATGAAAAGATAGTAATCTCACACCCTATTTATTCGCCAGTATAATATTTATGTTTTACCAGGATATGAAATCCCAAAATTATTGAATAGTTTTAGCTGCACATTTTATTCAATGCGCATGTTGGTAGATATGTGATTTCTCATATCAGGTAGCTCAAACCAAGTTTCAAACTACAAAAACTCAAATTCAGTTGACACTTGAAAAAATCACCTTCTTGAGCTCCTCCAACTTGGCAACATAAACACCTTTAGTCTCATCCTCTCCCTCATCGTACAACCAATCCTCTGTCTCCTGCAACTTCTGGGAGAATGCCTCCCTTTCTGACTCCGTCACGAACTCTTGATACTTATCATAAAGCTGTTGCAATGCCAAATATCTTAATGGTTACCCCAAAATGTAATCTATAATACCAAAAAAAATAAGGTAGAAATTCAGGAATAGTTATGGACCAACCATCCCCAAAAAATAGAAAAATAAAAACACTCTACCTTGTTTCTCATGTCATAGACATATGCCTCCACGGCATTCTTCCTGTCCTTGGTTTCTTCCATAACTCTATCCTGAAGTGCCATCTCAAACTCCTTCTCAATAACCTTCTGAAGATCAGCTGTCACCATGGCTCCATACACCACCTCTGAAACTGGCACATTTATTTTCCTAACCTTCTTCTTAGAAGCCTCAGGCTGCACCATATAAGCAAGACCAAATACCACATTAAAAGGCTTGTCCCAAGCTTACATTGTGATGAAAAAGTACGAGGTAAAAAGGCAGTCCCAATATGAGCATGTGATATTTCATAACTTTGTCAGCAAATACTGCTTTGACAATTCTAAGTGGATATACACTAAAAAATAAAATATAATTGGAAGGTGACCCGACTGATGAAGCAACAAAGAAGATCGATTTTTTTCTCAATGATTGATAGCAAAGTTCAGCTATAACAACTGTTTCAATCCTAGCTTTTTGACAAAAAGCCACAACTGCATAATTCGCACACCCACAGGCATGCACGCACATGCACATAGAGAAGCAGCTGGGAAACAGGTTCATTAAATAGCATCTCCGACAATCCCATCAACCCAACATATGCTGTCTCAGTCGATTAGTCAAAGCCCATGAGAACTACTTCTTGATAACAAGATTAATAAGAATTATCAATTTGAAAGAATCATCATCATCATCCAAGCCTTATCCCAATTATTTGGGGTCGCCTACATGAATCATGTTCCATTGTTCTCTATAAAGGGCCATACCCTCAATTTGAAAGAATAATGAGAAGAATTATCATGCAGACTTATTGAAGTGGGGAACCTGTCGATTTAAAATGAAACCAATCATAATAGAACAAATGCTCCAAAAGGAAGAAGTCGTTCAGAAAAGGAGTAAAGGGAACTGAGACAAAATCAACGCCACTTGAAATCCATAGCAGCAATTGGGTTTATGTATAAAAACAAAGGAAAGAAAAAAGGTGGTGATACCAGCAATTGTTTCACATGTATGAATTCCCATTGATATTGCTAGTACTGCCCGTCAGAGCTCAATTATAAGCAAGAAACATCACGAGATAGAATCACCAAGGAAAGTACATTGCTAGGGCACAAACCTTTGCATCAGTCTCCATCTGAACAGGTTTGTCCCCAGATTCTGGAATGCCATTTTCTGGTCCTCCAGGGGCATCACCAGCAGGTTTAGCATCCGCCATATTTACCTCGTTTTCATCACTAGGTGGGGGTCCAGATTCACTTGGAACATCATCAGTCTCCATTTTCGTAGCTTCCTTTGTTTCCTTCACAGGCTCTTTTACAGGTGATACAGGAACCTCCACTTCCTCTTCTTCAAGCAACTGCAATGATCAACAAGTTAGTCATCAGGGAACTAACTAATAAAGATAAGTAAGAATGTAAGAACATCAGTTTTGAAACTCACAGTTGCAGATTCAACAGAGACAATGCCATGCAAATTCAGACGAACTTTCACTTTCACTTTAGCCCGTTCTCCTTTTGCAGATTGGAAAGGACCAATCTGAAACCATCAATTCAAAAAATGATGTAGGGACACATCAAATACATAACAGCTAAGACACTCAGTAAAAGTTCAAAATCATCTCTTTCCCTCTCTCCCCCCTCTCTCTCCCTCTCCCTCTCCCTCTCCCTCTCTCTGATAAAGAAGTCCATGTAACTCATCGAATAATAAAAATAAAGGCACCAAATTCAAAAAACATAGAAAGTCAAGCCACCTCATTTAAGTGATGTTGAAAATTTATATATATATATATCTATTAAGTGATGGAATTCACTACAATACCAATCCTACATACCGTGTACGAACTTATCAAAGGAGGGGCTTGCAGCTCACTAACATCCGCATAGACAACATCAACTGTAAAAGTGCTTGACCTGTAAAACGTCAAAGCCTTCACACTAGGTATTGGATTACCCTTGGGGAAGACAATTGTGCTCTGTTGATGATCGGTTGCCCCATTCTGAGAATCAGGGGCAGGGCCCTTCCAAGACAAAGCAATAGGAAATGGGAAACTCTCGTGAACCTGAAACCACCAAATTATGAATGTTTAGTGAACAGGGAAAGCAAAACCTCCTGCCATGTCCAACACCAGATAATATAACTCATTTAGAGGATAGTAGCTTAGACTGTACAATCAATTTCATGGAAGAATTATTAAAATATGAAACGAAATGGATGAAAATTAGATACCATAGAAAACATTTACAGAGTTCAGGCCTTCTACAGCATTGTGTTTAACAAGTAAAAAGTTTATACATACGCTCAGAACATGACAGGTATGATGATTCATTTGGACATTAGTAAATCACGGATTTGTGATGCGCCCATTGAAATGTCCAAAAATAATCAAAACAAGCAAAATACGTATATTATCAAATAACATGCACTATATAACTTTTTTGTGCAATTCAAGCACAACTTTAGTTTCATCAAACTGAAAATAAAACAGTATCGAGGGCCCTCATGCATCAATTATCCAAATAGAAAAAAAATCATCAGCCACCATGCTCCCCATCTTTCTAAAATTTTTGAAAGGCAGTTTTTTTTTTTTTCTCCATTTTGCCACAAACATTCTGACCATGTTCTAATGGAAATTGTGATATCCCTATAAATGAAGGTCATCCCATATTAAAGTTTTCAAGTGTTCTTTATGCTTTTAAAAAATACAAACTGAACTTTGACATGACATGAGAAATTCTGAGGACTACATTGTCCAAGTTCTTTCATAAGATAGCCAATCCAACAAAAAACAAAAAAACTCACTAAAATGACCAAACCATCAAGCAAACCCCGAGAAAATGCTACCAGCACAAAAGATAAATAAATAAATAAATACACTCAAATAATCCTCAGAAGGGAAGCAACAAATAGATGCCCAACTAATACAAACAAAACCACAAAAGCAGATAGATTGCAAGAGCCATGAGCATGACAAAGCTTCAGAATTAGACCAAAGAAAATCATTTCAAAACCTAAATAATGTTGATTTACTTTCCAGTATTCAAAAATATTATTACACAAAAACCCAATCTTTTCACAAAACGAGTTGTCATACCAGGACTGCCTTAAGGAAAAGGTAAATACACACAAGACTTACCTGAAATTCCCGCACTTTAAATGTGGGACTGAGAATGGCGCACTGAAGGGCAGCACCTCGAGCAACACACTCGCTAGCATTCATTGTACGCCTAGGCTCTTTCCCAAAGAACTCAGTCAAAATCTTAATAATGGCAGGCACTCGAGAACCAGACCCAACAACCTCCACAGAGTGTATGTTTTCAACTGCAAGCCCAGCATCCAATAAAGCTTTCTGCAGAGGCCTCTTTACCCTCTCCAATATGGGTACACTGAGCTGCTCAAAGTCCTCTCTTTTAATAACCCCCTTCACATCTTTCTCATCCATGAGGCACTCGATGTTAAGGGGCGCCAAGGGGTTGGCACTCAAAACCTTCTTAAGCTTCTCACAAGCTGCCCTAAGCCTCTGGCATGCCCTAGCATTTGCAAGCACGTCAATATTATACTCTACCTTGAACTTAGTGGCGAAATGCCTGAACAAAACCTCATCAAAATCACGACCACCCAATGATCGATCAAAGGCATGGGCCAAAATTTTAAGCTGCCCCTTCTTGAACCCCACCACACAGACTTGCATACATGCATGACCAACATCAACAAAAGCCACATTTAACTGATCATTTTCAGGTAAATCAGTTTTGTAAATTCCATAAGCAAGGGCAGTGGCAGTGGTCTCATGAATTAGTCTAAGTGGGTGAAGTCCAGCAATTGTGGCTGCATCCAAGACAGCTCGCCTTTGAAGATCAGTGAAGTAAACAGGGATACCAATACAACAATCCACAACTGCTGCATTGAGGTTTTTTTCAGCGATGCCCTTGAGGTTTGATAAGATCATTCCAAGGACTTGGGTAGGAGTGAAAAGCTTAGATTCGCCAAGATATCGAACATGGATCAAGGGGAAGCCATCAGGGCCTTCGGTTACCAAGAATGCAAAGGCTTGAAGATCTCTTTGCAGTTCAGGGTCAGAGAAACGGCGGCCAATGAGTCGCTTGATTTGAGAGACCGAGTTTTTGATGTTCATAAGAGATGAGGCAGCACCTGCAGTGCCGATAAACCGCTGCTTCTCACCAAAGCAGACGATGGCAGGGGTCTCTCGCTTCGACTCATCATTCAGAACGACGTCGATCCCACGTTGGCGGGCAACAGCAACAATGCAGCTCTCATTACCAACGTCGAAACCCACAACACTCATCCTCGCCAAATGATTTCAACCAGAAACCTGGAGGAAACACAAAAAGAAAGAAGTAGGTATAACTATCAAGGTATTAATATCGTACACTGAGACGAAGCATAGACATATTCACCGAGAAACAGCTCCTTCAAGCACAGTCACAAAAACATCATTTAAAACGATTCCATCAAAATAAAACATCCTGGAATTTTTAAAACGTAACAAAGCAACAACACCATTAAAAATAAAAGTAAAAAATAAAGATGCAAAAAAGAAGCATCATTCTGGACAAACTATTAAAAAAAAAAAAGGATGTAAAAAATGCAACAATACACAGCATAACCTAGGCTCCAATCAACAAACAGGAGCTGTTCATAAAAACCAACCACAATATGACAAGCGCTATATTTCCCAGGCAATTAAGATCAAACTGCGAATGGAATTATCAATTAAAAAACTAGATTTCAATGATTTTTGCAGCTAAAACCAGCAAAAAAGCAAAATAAAACAATCAATGGTTTAATACAGTCCCTAACAAATAGTACTATTAAAATGCATATGTACTTTTTTCCCATTACATTGCACGCACCGTGAATAATAAATAAACTCGGATCTTGACAAGGAACCAGTAGGTGGTCATGTAAATCTGCTGAGATGCAAATCTAGAGAGAGAAAAAACAAATCTTTGATATAAATCGATATCCAGATAGCCCTACTTCACTAAACCAAACAAGATAAAGCAAATTGATGAGAATTAAAGCAAAAACCAAACATCAATCAATTATGAACAACTGATCAAGCAAATCTGCCCCACTGTGCAAAAGCACGAAAGAGACTGTCACCAGAAGGAAACAAAATGCTAGAGATAGAAAATTTAGGGTCCATTGATGAATCAAGAGCCAGACTTTAACACCACACAAAAAAATCCACATTTGCATCATCAATAGAGGCAAAAATCCATATCTCTACTGATCAGTCGGCAATCGATCACATAAATCTACAAATCCAGTAAAAAACCTATAATTTCTACAACTCAAAATCAAAACCGGTATAAAAACCTCCACATAAATATCACAAATATGATAACATGCTACATAGAGAGACAGAAATTACCACCGTACAAATCAATAATAGATTAATGAGTTGAAAGAGGGAAAGTAAGGGCGATGAAAGGGAAACTAGGGTTTCAGAGAATGACAGCGGGGAGATGCACAGGCAACCCAAAAACTTAGAGAGAAAGTCGGGTTTGTAACTCACTTTAGGGCAGAGGACAATGGCAGAGAGAGGAGACGCACTCTTCGATCTAGACAGAAAAAACCTAAAGAGAGTATGATGTTGTGTTGTTCTAGAACCCTCGATTCAGGAGTTTTTGCAATACAAGTCCCGTTCTATAACCCCGGTCGATAGGTATGTGGGGGCCCCTTATATGAGAAAGAGATGAACGGTAAACAAGAGAGAGAAAAACAAAAAAAAGGAATATAAAAAAAGATTTAATCGAAGCAAAATGGACTTTTTGCTTTTTAGACGTCTTTCTGGAGTCGAATGGTGCGAGATTAATCTAGAGAGAGAAATGAATTCTAGAAGGCTCTACGAGGAGAGAAGGGAGGGCAATTAGGTGAAAATATTGAAGTTTATCTCGGTTTTGTTTGTGCCTACAGCTAGGGTTTAAAGTAAACGAGCAGTGGCACGTGTGCCACAGTGTCTGAACCTTAAATTATGGTTTTATACAAAATATGGACGTTGATATACATCAAAGCATGATATAATAAAAATTAAAAAATGTTATAATAAAAATTAGATAAAATCATTATTATAAAATAATAATTTTAATATGTCAGTATAGCATGAGGTGTTATTAAAATGTTATGCATGTAATGTATTTTTAATAACATTTACAAGAAAAATAAATTTACAAAATCTTAAATAAAAATATATAATAAAATAAAAATTAAACTAAATTTCACGATAAAATAAAAGTAGCAGCTTTTCCCGGGGAAAAAGTGAAAGAAACATAAAATACTTACTTTTCATAGTAAAAGCGAGATTAAATACTTGTTATACAAAAATAAAGAAAAATCACAAAAAAAAAACCCAAAACAACACTTTCTATTCAACTTGCTCCAACCCAGTAAAAGAGAGATGAAATACGTGTCACAAAAAAAATAACGAAAAATTACAAAAAAACCCCAAAGCTACACTTTCTATGCAACTTACCTCAACCGAATTTTTTCTCTTACTTTTTTCCATAAAATATTCTTCCTACGCAAAAGCCCCACAACCAATATAAAAAATGCCTAAACTACCATCCCTTGCTTTTTTACCTTACTCATGCTCATGCCTCTCTCATCTATCCCACCAAAATAGGGGACTCCGACACCACGTAGATGCGGTCCCGTAGTAGCGCTCCCGCACTGTATAAAGTTTAGTTTAGCAATAAGGCTCCGACACTGTGTAAAGTGTTGTCCAACAATAAGGCTTCGTCACTATGTAAAGTACGGTTTGGCAATTGAAAAAGGCAGTTTGGCAGTAGGGCTCCATAGTATGTAAAGTGCGGTCTGACAATTGAAAATAGCAGTCTGATACGTGCAAATGACAGTCCGGTAGTAGGGCTCCAGACTGTGTAAAATGCGGTCCCGCAATTGAAAAGGGCAGTCCGATAGTTGCAAAGGACGGTCCGACAATTGCAAATGACGGTTCGACAATTGCAAATGACGGTTCGACAGTTACAAAGGGCACGGTCCGACTGTTGCAAAGGGCAATCCGGCACTTGTGAGCTCTGACAATGTGCTACTGGGTCCAAAAGTCAATGTCAAATCTGTTCAAAATGATTTTTTGTATATGAGAACAGCATTTCCGTCTAAATAAATGAACTTTTCATTTGGGGGTTATTTGCAGAAAAAGTTTGTTTTGGGGAAAAAATAAAAGACAAAGTTAGGTTGGGGTAAGTTGCATAGAATGTGTAGTCTTGGGGGTTTTTGTAATTTTTCGCAAAAATTATAATGGTTGAAATACTATTTAATTGAATAGATATCAATTTAGCGAAATGAATAAATTATAATTTTAATATATCAAATTAAATAACATATAAAATATATTATTATGATTATTAATTCAATTATAGTAATATTTATTGGGAAAAGTTTATTTAGAGCCGAGGCTCTATACAATCAAATTTGAGCCTACCACAAAAAATTCACTAGAAGATGTTGTTTTGATGCCCAAATATCTTCAAATTGATCATCTCGACATCAAGATGTATGCACCTGAAAAAAAATGGATTTCAAGTTTTGGAAATAGTGTATTTTGTAATGCATTTTTTTACCATCAATTTTCAATATTTTCAAGTTTTTATAGATTTATCAATCTCCACTTTTTTTGAAGCTTTAAGCTTTATAAATAAATATAAAAGTATATATTAAGTCTATCACAATGATTTACAATGTTGAAACCACATTTCTCAACGCTATTTTAAGATAGGCTCTGATTTGATTGTTTATAGCCTAGGCTCTATATAAACCGCACCCACATCTATTACTTTTAAGAATAAATTTATATTATCTAATTACTCATATGTTATTAAAATAGATTAATATAATGACTAATATTATTTAGTTAAAATTCTAATAGTGTAACATGATTGTTGTATCTATGACTAATCAAACTACATTTAATTTCATTATACTAAATGAATTATTGTATTTTTTAATTATCAAAGTATAATTATTATTACTCATATGCACATTTATAATGCATGATATTTAGTACCAATATTATATATTGCTATTTTTAGTTAATAATTATATTTTTTTATGAATTATATAATTACGAATTATAATTAATATAATCAAATTGATTAATTATCACAATGTTAATTATTGTTGACAAATATTATTAATTGATATAAAATTAATAAAAAATGTAATTTTTTATTTATTATCAATCAATTTATGCAATTGTAGTTTATTAATAATACAACATTATTATCATTATCTACACTAAATAAATTATAATAGATAATTATATAATAAAAAATAAAAAAATAAATATAAAAGTTTACAATAACTTTAAATTTATGCATATTAATATCCACAATGATGTTAATTATTATGAATATAA